TCTGCTGACTGCACCAGACGATCCCATGAAGCACGAGTCTCGGGAGTTTGGAGGACAGAGCGGAAGGTGGTGAGGTCGAGAGCGCCTTCGTAAGCGACTTGAGAAACTGCTCGATAGATGTCTGGACCTTTCGCTCCTCTGCGGTGGACAGCGACATGGTCGGGTCGGAAGCGGCCCAGGCTGAAGGGTTGCGATTGTGAGGTAGAGGCTGTTGCTGCTGTTGATCTGCTGGGCGATAAGGTTGTCGAGTGAATGCGGACAGCTACATTCTCGATGGACTCGACATGGCGCAGAGAGGATGATTCGCGAGGCTTGCTTTTAGCTGCACCCGTTCTCGTCGCAGATGCTGCTCCGGCATTCTGCGATGATGCAGATGGAAAGGAAGAGGGTGAAGCTAGGCTAGACGTTGCAGGGTTGCTGCCAACAAGGCTGACTGGCTTCCAAGCTTTCGAAGAAGATTCAGAGACAAGGGTGCGGAATCGGTCGAGGGCGTCGTCGAGAGCGGAGAGCCACTGCGCCTTTGATTTTTGGAGAGAGAGTGCCTCGTCCATCGTGGAAGGAAGGATGAGGATTCTCGAGCCCGACGGCAGAGTTGGATGCTTTGTTCCAATCGAATGATATATCTTGCATAGGACGGTGGAGTGCTTGATTGGAAAGGGCCTATCTGCTTGAGCACACGAGCTAGACTGTCAAGCAAGCGGTGCGGAAGGGATGCGGAGCAGTGCAACGCTGGTGCTGTAGAGTGACCGCCGTTGAAGGAAAGGCTAGGCAGGCTGAGCGGAAGCCGCTCTCCAAGGCTATTGAGTGAGGATGGTGTGAAGAGCTGAGCAATGGTGAGCAATGGGTGAGCGGTGTCGAGTGACCATTCCTCACGCACGGACCTTCTTTCTCTCTCCAAAAGCTCAAAATCAAAAATAAATTGGCCGCGAAAATGTGCTGAAAATGATGGCAAACAGTGACCGCTCATTTTGCTCAACCTCCACTTGAACGTGATCTAACAAATGCTTCAATTTCTCACCATGCCTTTCCCTCGCAAGCACAAGCACAAGCACAAGCACAAACACAAGCACAAACACAAACACTACTCATCTCATCAAACGTTGCTGATGGCAATGTCAGTCACGAGGTGGTGAAATCGTCTTGAATGTTCTTTGCCTACGTTTGGGAGTGTATTTACATGCGGGAGGGGAGGGGGGATAGAGACTAAAGGAGCGTGCGCCGGTTGCGGTGCAAGGAGACGATAAAGTCTTGTTTTACATGGATTAGCTGGGAAACCAGCCAACGAGTAGGCTGCAAAGCGAAGAACCGATGTGGAATCGAAGAAAGACAGCGAGTCGAACTAGTACAGCATCCGGCAGGCTGATACTGTTGCTATTCGAACAGAACTGACGCTTGTACATCCAAGGGCTGAAAGAATGCAAACAAGCAAGTCCATCCGTCCAAACACGAACGATGGGGGGTGCAAATGCCGCCATTTTCCCCCGAGTCTCAAAGCGCGAGGTCAATGGCGACAGTCGAAAAGCCTCGTATGCTGTGGGTATGGTTGGAAAGGCTTTAGATGCAAGCATACGAGGCGTTAATAAAGAGAACAGAAATGCCGTCAGGAGAGAGAGAGAGGAAGAGCAAGGCAGGTCTAGTTGACCTGCTTGATCGGATGCAAGAGCATCGGTGCACGGCAAACGTTCTCCTTCTCCTTCCATCCAACATAGACCTCTTTGCTGTGCTTGCCATCGTAGTAGAAGGAGCTATCCCGCATCACCTTTTCGTTGATCTTCTTGTAAAAGTCTGGTCGGTTGATTCGGTTGTGCAGCACCTCGGGCTCCCATACGTGACGCAAGTAGACTGGATGTGGCACGAAGACGCCCTTGAATGGCAGTGGTAGGTTGTGAGTGAAGCCGGCCTCTGGGTAGAATGAGTGGTCGTGCGACATGGGCAGCTGCGAATGCAATACCAGCGTTGTGGGCCATGCTTCACAGTGGAGCGACTTTTTGGCTTCAGCGTTGACTACATTCATGGCCTCGAGCAGGCCTCGACTGATACGCATGTTGGTACCGATCGAAGCTCGACGGTCGGTGCTCTGTCCTGGTGGGTAGTTCTGCACGTCGTACTCCCAGTACCATCCCGAGCCTCTTGGGTCGAAAATGGGTCCCAATGTGATCAGATCGGCCTCCTGTCCGCGTCCCACGGTAAGCGTCTTGTTGTCGCGCCAGTTGTCTTCGGAGGCAGTGACGTTGGGTACAAGCCAGGTGTCGTACTTGTCCATACCGGCATGGAGAGGCTCGTTACGCGAGTACTCCTCGATGCCCTCAAAGAAGTCGAGGTAGTTGCCAATGTAACGCACGTCCATCTCCCAGTTGTAGACAAAGTCATACTCCTGGTGGTCGAGGTAGAACTTCTGCAGGGCCATGAGACAAGATCGGTAGGAGGTCTGGGCAAACATGTTGTTCAGGAACTTGCCTGGCAAGCCTGGGTAGAGCGCGCACATCTCGTCTTCCGTCCAAAGCTCGACAAGACCCCAGAACTCGCGAGGTACACTGGATCGAAGCACATTGAGACGATCCCATTCGGAGGTGAAGACGGCGAGGTGACGCGACTTGACCTCGACCAAGATGCGAACATCGTAAGGGGTGTTGGGGTTGTTGAGCGAAAGCTCGCTGATCAAGGCTCGCATGTTGAGCATGTCGTCCTCGCGCCAGGCATAGCCCTCGTAGGATCGCATGACGACTGCTGTTCGCTTGGTCTCCGGGGTTGTGAAGACATGCGAACGACCTCCGCTGGTATGCGGCTCTTCGGCGGTGGGCAGGTTGTGGGGGTCAAAGTGATCCACGCCACCAGCCATACCACGGTCGTGCAAACGCTTCTGGTAGCAGGCGTCCATGAGAGCGCGCCAGTCGGGATAGCTGCTGGGACCGAGTTCTTCACTGAGCACGTTGGCACGCCACAAGCGATCACGGAGCTGACCTTCCCATTCGCCCTCGCTCATGCCCTCGGGCTTGCGTCGACCGTAGAGCGGGTCGATGTTCTCCTTCTGGGGTGTACCATCGCTGTTGGTGGCTGTTGAGGTGGTGGTGGAAGTGCTGTTGTCCAGCTGGGTCGAGCTGGGCTTGTTTTTTAGTGGCTTGACATTGTCCGGGTCATCATCGTAGTCTTCTGCTTTGGCAAAGTACTTTTCGAGTTGGGACATGTCCTTGCGGTAGGTGATATTCAGGGCTTCATCCGAGTACATCTCATATCTTGATCGGTAGGTCATGCACTTGCCAAAGTGCATGCCAGCTGCCTCGTAGCTTCCGACGAGCGGTTTGGGATGTGTGTCGGGAGTATCATAGACATCCAAAGGAGCACGAGGGATAGGTAGGCGCTTGGGACCGAGGCAGGCGCCAAATTTGGGTGGAGTGGTGGGTGGCGAAGATGGTGGATGGAAGGGACTTGCTGAGCTGGGAGCGGACTTGTGGACGGCTGGAACGACAGGGTAAGGATCGACTCGGTAGTAGGTCATCTCGCGCCACTCTGTCGACATGGCACCAAACAACCCGAAGGCGGCGAGCGTACCGAAGAGCGCAACAAAGATGAGCGTCTTCCATTTGCGCAGGATCAAAGTAAGGACCTTTTGCAGGGAAGGAGGTATCCTGACGATGTAGAAGCCGCCGAACTTGCCAAGATTAAAGACAAAGGTACCGGGAATGCCGCCAGGAGAGGGGACGCTGCCGCCATGTGGTGGTGAACCGGGACGGCTAGGTGACCGTGATCCGGTCGGGGAGTGAGGGAGGTGGTGGAAACCATAAGGCGGTGGCGGATTGCCGCCGGACGAAGAAGAGGAAGGCGACATGGATGGCGAGAGAAAGGAGGACTTTTCTGACATTGTCGTGAGCAAATGGAGGGCGTGAAGAGATGCAAGGGCCGTCGTCTTGTCCTAGCCAGGAGGGCGGCCTGTTTCGCCGAGTTCGACTGTCAGTCGAAGCGGGCAGTCAAAGCGGGCAGTCAAAGTGGGCAGGATGCTGAGGTAGATGGCTTGCGTGTCCAATCGAAAGTTCTAGCACGGACTTCGGAATGGTTGGGATGCTGCCGAGATCGTCGTGGGAGGTCAGCAGTTGCTATCCTGATTAGAACCAACGAGTTCGAGGCGATGGAGAGCTGAAGGAGCTAGTTTGAGGTCTCTTTCTATTCAGGATGAAGTAGAAGTTGAGAGAAGGAGATCAGGCGGACACTTGTCCTTTGTCGTCAGCTGGCCAACTGCGAGGAGATCGAACAATCGTAAAAAGGAAAAGAAAAGAAAGAAAAAAACGACGACAAATGTTGAAGATGGAAGAAACGAAGGCGAAACGGCTGGAGCGAGTCGAGAATGTGGTGGCAGTGGTGATGAGGAAGCGATGAGAGTGTCCAAGATGAAGAGGGATATCGAGAAAGAAGGGTCGAAGTAGGCACCAACGGAAATCCGCGAAGATCTGCACTCACGCAAAGCAGCAGCAGCAGCAGCAAGGAAACCACAACGCGAAGGATGGTGCGCAAGTGCAATACCGTTTGTTCGACAGTCAACAAATCGCACGAGAGAGAGAGAGCGATGCAGAACACTCACCTGAGAGAGAGGGAGAGGCAAGGAATAAAGGAGCAGAAAAGAAATAATGAATGGTTGATGGATTGATGGATTGGATTGGATTGGATTGGATTGGATTGGATTGATATGACAGTGCAAGTGTGTGCGCCTGTGCGCGTGTGCGAGATCGGAGATCGCCTGCCAAAAGGGCCAGAAACGGCGGCGACGGTTTAGCGTGTTCACATTTAGCTCTACGCTCGCCGAGTAACTTGCAACTGACATATCCCAGTGACCACTGCCATCTCTTGGCCCTCTCCGCCGATCGATCGACCCAGCTCGGAGAACAGGCGTACAATGGTGTGGCAGCGGTGGCTCAGGAGCTTTCGATGATCGACTGAAAAATGAGCTGCAGTCTTGGTACCTTACCATACGCTTGCTATATGCTATGCCAACCTCCAAGAGCATCCTACCGGACATAGCTCAGTTGGAAGTAGCGATGGTTTGTAATTGGAAACCCTAATCTGGTATCAACAGAAAAGCACCATAGGTCGCCGGTTCGATTCCGGCTGTCCGGACGCTTCTTTTGATTTTCATTTATTTTTGCTTTTTTCTTTTTAACTTCATTTTTCGACTGTGACCTGACGCGCACACAGCGAGACCCCTAAACGCGAAAAAGGTCGACGCGTGTCACGTCTCGCTTGGAAAGGCACAAACACGGACGTAATGTTACTCTAGCTGACCTAACACCGTTTGGATTGGGCTCGCTTAGGCTTTCAGTTGATTCTCCGACCCGAATTAAGGCTCGCTGGGACAGTTCGGTCCGAGCAACTTGCAAGCGGATGTTGTACAAAGCGGATGTTGTACAAAGGCAATGTTGTACAAAGGCGATGGATGATGTAGCAGACAGTTTGCCTTTCATTTCCCTCCACAGCACACAACTCATGCTAATCTGTCAAAGTGTCTCGTTCGAAGAAGCAATCTCCTTGATGACCACCACCACCACCCTCCTTTTGCTTCGTCTAGCCTTTCAGAGCTCCTGACGCCACTCCTCGTCCTCGGTCGTATCTGCATCTGGTATGCAATCTCTTCACTCCTCGTCCATCATCTCTGAAGGTCATAGAGCGACATCAACACCTGTCGCGACGGCATAACCAGTTGCACGCTCAGGAGGCTACAGGCAAGGACCGCTATCTTGACGACTCGGCCAGGATGGCGGAAGCAGTCGTCTTTCCAGGCTCGCCTCTGCATCAATACCTGCGAGACGCCCAAGAGCCTCATGTCGCTCCTCAAGATAGAGATCTGTCTGAAGCATCAACATCTGGCGCAGAGTCGCAATATGCCTCTTCCCTCGCCGAAACTGCATCAGCGTCCAGGCCTGCAGAGGATTCCGCTGCACCAACATCAATGACAACTCCGAGATCAACCTACCTCGACTCTTGCACTAATGCAAACCCAGCGACCGCTCATCCCACAACATCCAGCCAGGCCGGCAGCGATCGCACATCTCACAGCGCAGCGTCCAAGTCCGACAACCAACCTTCCATCGCAAAGGTCGAGAAGCAAGTCAACTTCTCGTCGCAACTTACAAGTTTATTACACGCCTTGCTCCAACACTTCCTGCTGCCACTAGTCATCATGATTGCCCCGCATGTCTTTGCTATGCGACAGCCATCCGAGGCATCCATGTCCACCGGCCCATCCCGACAGGTCCCCAGCCAGCCAACAAGCACAAGCACCGATCAACAATCCCATCACGGCGACAAGAGCTTTGCAGAGAGATTCAAGTACGCCATCTGCTCGTCTTTTCTACTCACTCCAAGCCTCTCCATCTCCTTCTACGAAGCAAGTCCACCCTTCGAGACCCAGCAGCCGGCTTCCTACAAAGATACTCCCAGGCGTGGAGGCTACATCAAGGGACAACGTCCAAGTCCTTCGCCCATCCACAAGAAGTGCTATGTCGAGCTTCTCGATGCACCTACCTCAATATTGCCGAATGGCTCCAGCTCCACAGCAGTCCACCATCAGCGCCTACCGCGGCTCGATACTCAAGGCCGTCGAGCTCGCAATGCTGCCTTCTTGGCTGCCATCTTCCTCATTCCACCAACAAGCAAGTCATGGCAAGCATGGTTCTCCACTTTGCTCCTCATAGCCAGTCTCACCTGGGCTTTCATTCTCTTCCTCACTCATACTTCTCCTGACGACAGCATCCATTTCTCCCTCTCGCGCCAAGCTTCCCCCGCCCTCCTCACATCTGCTGCTTCACTCCGCAATCTCTCCACTTCCAATGAACCTCGCCAGTCCCACAGGGAAGCGATCCGACGCTCTGCCCTCAAAAACGTTTCCAACTTGATCCGCGCAGCGCAGCAATTCGACCTATCCATTAACAAAGCCATCAGCGCCATCCAGGAGGTCGAGCTTGTATCGCGCGGATACAAGCTCACCCATCCTCTTCCGCCCATCTCCAGAATTGAAGCTGCCACCAGTCACTCTCCTTCTCCCTCTCGACAAGGCCGTTCCATGGCTGCACCGATCTTGCCTCCTACAGCTAAGCTCACCCGTACCCTCTCGGGTGGGGGCAACGGAGCACCTACTATCAAGCGACATACCCAACGCCCTCTTTCGCTCACCCTGTCCAACGGCCGAGCATCACCCTTTGACCGTCCTTCAGGTCGTGCATCTCCAGCCATCTCCAACATCGAAGCCGACCTAGACCTGACGCAGAAGCTTCTCGCCGAGCAGAGCACAGCAGCTCTGGCTTCTGGCATATCCGCACCGCACAGGATCGTCGAGCTGCGCAAGGGCGTCATTGCAGCATTGCAAGATGCCGGTGCTGCCTGCACTACTTCCACTGCCTCCTTGCAGATACTCGCTGATCCAGAAGAGCTTGCTTTGCTTTACGATCTCTGCGCTCTCGATGCGAGTACGCAGGACGACACAAATCAGGCTGATCTCTCTCTCGCCTGGACGAATGGCGACACCTCTGCTTTCTCCGACAACTCACCCGACCTCGAGCAAGACCGCAAGGGACGGCTTGCGACTACACCTCGCAACCTTGGCAACAGCATACGCTCCCCTGTTCTTTCTGGCCCAGCTGATGGATTCTGGCGACCAGACTACAGTCCGCAGCCAACGGGTTCGATGCATCGCAAAAGGCTTTCGCTTGTCTCGAACGGTGCATCGGTTCAAGACCAGCTGCAGCAGCACCCGCCGCGCCCGGCATCTTCCTTATCTCGTCGCAGCAGCCTCCTCTCAGAATCCGGCAACATGAGCGCCTATCGATCTCCTCGCTTCAACTACCTTCCCGATAAGACGACCGCATCATCTGGACCCAACGAGTCAGCTGCAGCCAAACGTCTCAGCTACATGTCCAACTCCTCTCTCACCACTGCATCGTTCGACACTCGATCGTCAGCAATCCGAAACTCGTCCATCGTATCATCCACCTTCTCACCGCCCCGTTCTTCCGCTCAGACCTACTCGGCTGCTACCAGTCCACAGTCCAGAGCCACAAAGCGCAGCTCAATCATTCCTCCCAACTCGATCTTTGCGCAGATGGACACTTTGATTGCTAATGTCTCACATACCGAGCCTGCTGATCCTCTGTCACTGCTGAGCATCAAGTCCAAGTTCGAGTGGATGCACAGGGCTCGAAGGCGTTGGCTTTCTCATGTCCTCGCGCTCCGTCTCACGACGAATGGCAACATAATGCTCTCCAACGGTGCCAGCTTGCCTGCCGACCAGTACTGGATTGCTGCTTCTTGCGAGATTGCAACTCTCACCTCGACCTTCGCTGAACAGGACAAGGCTACCGCCCAGATGGTCGCTAAGGAAATGGGCACAGAGTTTATCAACGCTCTCAAGATCAAGCCGGTCGACAAGCATGCCGGATCTCGGTCCGAGTCACGAAACGGCCTCTTGACAGTGCCTGCTGGAGAATCAAGCATAGGCTCTATTGCAGGTCATCCTGGACTCGAAGATCGACTGCACACAATGATGTTGTCTCTACGCTCCTTGCAGTCCAAGATCCGTGTCTGTGCGGAGGACATTCGTGTCAAAGCACCGCCAGGTCTTCACGGCATCAATGACGAAAACGCAGGCTATGACCAAGCAACATCGGCACCCGCCCTTGTCGACGACGCCACAAGCATCATTCAGCTGGAGAAGACGCTCGAATCGATGCGTGACGACCTTCTCAGCCTATCATCCGAGTGGGAGGCGACTGTCAAGCTGGTACACAAGGAGAAGCGCAGGTCACCGAGTCCTGTCCCGAGCACCACCGACGTCGAAAGCGATGTAGCGACCAAGCTAAATGCTGCTCGAGACCTCGAATCACCACTTGAGCCTGATGAGGATAAGAAAGGCGATGTTAACCGTGTCGATCGTCTGTCGTCCCTGTCTGACCGAGATGCAGAAGCGCTGGAGCATGTTGCCCTCAGCGACGACGAAGATGACAGCGACCTGGCCCAACTTCTTCTGCGTTCTACATCACCCAACTCTCTCCCGCCTCCCGGCCTCGAGCAGGTCTTTGAAAGCATCGCTGGGATCGCCCGACTATCAGGCTTGGGCGTAGGCGTAGAGGCAAAGAACATCTCACGTGCTGAACGCATCGAGCAAACCAAACGTCAACGTCAGCTAGACCAGGAGAAAGCAGCCAATGACAAGGCATCTCACCGACACACCATGGATTCATCTGGGATCATGTCGGAACTCAGCGACGTAATCTCTTCTCGCAAAGTTGTTCGTGAGCAACGTCATTGCTCTCCTCTCCCTCCCACCGCCGCTGATGGCGCGTTTGCATACCATTCAGAACCAAAACCAGAACCAGAACCAGAACCAGAACCAGAACCAGAACCAGAGCCATTAGCACAGCCTGCCTTAGCTCTGGGCTCACCACTCGACCTCGGCCCCGCAGCGCAACAAGGTGTCTTTGGTCCCGGTCACAGCTTCTCTGAAGATCAAGCTGTGCCTCGACGATCGCTCTCCTCTCTTGACCTGGCGCGTGCTCGAGCATTGCAGAGTTTGGAAGCGCGATCCCCATCTGCTGCCTCTTCTTCAGCTTCGAATTCGTTTGATGGCGATGATTCGCAGCCGAGACTATCGGATGACTTTTCCTTTGAACCGACAGCGTTGGAGTCTGTGCCTGAAGATGCTGGTTCTACTGCACTACTAGAGTCTCGTTCAGCGCATTGCGACTCGACGAGCAGGAAAAGTACACCAAAGGCTTCATACGCTTCGCTGGGGATGGGAGATGCAACGCCGGTTCCGGATAGTCCGTTTGATTGGGGGGCTCAGGTTGCGGCGTATGCGAGGAGAAAGGCTGCTGCTAAGGCTCAGGCCGAGGCGGTTGCTATGCAGGCTTCTGAGTCCGAGTCTGGTATGCAGTCGTAGAAGTGAGGATCCAGAAGGGCTGCTTGGCATACAGGATCAACAAGGTTCATAGGCAATGCTTCATTGTCATTATAGTCACGGTCTAATATTATCAGGGATGTCTTCTTTTCAAATGCTGTCCTGTGCTGGGTCGTTGCGTGTCCGACGTTGAGGAAGAATCAAAACATGTGAATCAGAGGATACTCCT